TAATTTAGTATTGGTTTAGAATTGGCCGTAAATCAGGCACTGGTGACTTTGGAATTTTGGCAAAGCTGTTTTTTTTTGGAGTAGGTGGTCTTTATTGTTTGGGGGACGGATCATAGCTTGCGGGCGTTGTTATCGTCATCTGCTGACGTGTGTTTCCGCCTCAGCTTTCCATTTGCTTGAGAGGTGCGTCAATGATGAGCCATGAGATTTGGGTAAAACGACCAGACATGGGCTGAGCCGTAGAGTTCCGAGAAAGTCCCAGATTGAGCAACTTTAGTTCGCGACGTTCATTCTGTTTCCAAAAGATCTGGTTTCTTGAGTCTCTGCCAGTGGCTCTGAAGTTTTTGCGGATTCCCTGCATTATGCGCTGCTTACACGAAACGCACAGCTTGTGCTTGCCTAAATCTGGGAGAGAAGACTTGCAGTGCCGAAGGCATCGCATCGAGGTAAAGCATGTGAAGCATCACATTGCAATCATTGGTCCTGACTTCAAATGCACAGAGGTCTCCGTTTGCAATTGGGTTGAATGGCAGCGCAGCTTAGGCGGCCAGCACGGCCACAGCAGGCCTAGGCCACAATTCTGCCAGGCGGGGGGTGGAGGAAACTGCTTGCAAAACAGATACCCAAGTTTGCGAAGATTGCGTTTCACTCAGGCAACCAATCCGTTTGTGGATCAACGTGCGTGCTTCCAATCATTGAATTTGCATCCTTTTGGAGAGGGCGCCGCTGATCTAAACTGATACCTGGTGCTTGTCCAAGCCCAAGCTTTCCACTGCGCACCATGTATCGGCCTTCCGCTTGCCAGGATGTGCAACCAGGGCTGCTGTTAGACAATCTCAACCTGGCAGTCCATTCAGAAAACGTGCACTCAAGTGAAAGCGAGGTCAAGGAAGCATTGACCTCAAAGCCAGTTGGTTGCCAGATCTCCCCAACATTCGTACAAGATGAAAATACCAGGCGACTTCAGCTACGTCGCCTATGTACGCGTTTGGTGGCATTCTCGACCTGTCAGTACAAGTGCGAAGATGTGTGTCCAAATCAAGGATAGCTCAAATAGCTGACCTTAGTTGAGAAGTTTCATTGAGACGCTTATAGCGCTATCACAATGCAACTTGGACTCTTTGTGCATCGTGTAGACTTCAAGATGGGCAAAAGGAAGGTATAAGGCCCCGAGGCAAACACCTTGCAAATCAGGCTTCAAAGCCTACAGTGTTTTTTGTTTGGGGGCATCTATCACCATGCCGCAGCTCTCCCGCCTTGCCAGGATAGTTTTGTCCTCATGCGCCCTGGGCATGTGCGCTGGCGTGGCCAGCAGCAGCGCAGCTGGCATGTGGTTCCTGTTGCTGTAACGGGCCGATATTGGCTGCTCGCCATTCTTGATACCTCTTGCTTTCTCCGCAAGCAGAATATGTTCAAGCCAGGCCGCAAAAGGAGGACTGCCCGACTCGCCCGGGGACGCAGATGTGGATTTTTCGGGGGTGAGAACGAACATTTGAGGTGTCACTCGTGGATTTCAAGCTTGTGTGGACACCGTTCTTGAGAGCTATTTTTTTGCTGGCTTTATGTCGACCTCGGAAGTTGTTTGCTGGTTTGGTTCAGCCACTGAGGCAGACGTTAGTGGCAGCAGCCTTGCGGCCAGGTCCTCAGCAGGGACGGCAAGGGCCCGTGCCCACCCAGCCTCAACTATAACTCATCATTTTTTCTGGGAACGGCTGGCGCTGTCAGCCAGACAACCGGGGCCAAGCCAGCGTTGAGAAGATGCGATGTGTTGCGCTGCCGCCCGTGTCCTTAGCAGATTGCGGCCTTCTTACTCAGGTGCTGAAACCAAACTTGTTGACTCCTGCATTATGCAAGGGCACAAGTGAAGGCCTAGCACCGAGGCAAAGCTGATTCTTATTTGCAAAATGCGCATCTATCCGCATCTCTGAGCCAGAGCCAGTCACTGTTTCGGTGTGTTCTGGCGGAAGTCACTCGCTGCGAAGGGAAGCCTGCGAGGTGCGAGAGCTCGACGAGCCGGATGTGGGGAAGTTTGTGCCCAAGATGCGGGCGCTGCAGAACCAGGCGGCACGGAAGACCCGTGCTCCTTGAGCTCGCGTTTGCTTGTTTGGGCAGGCAGCATGGCTTGCTTCGAGCTTGGGCCTGGAGAAATTGAGGTCAAGCCAGGAATCCCATGTGTTTCTGGTTACCAATATGAAATATGTGTTTGGGCGAACGTGTCAGACGGCTGTGTTCCAACCTTCCCATCTGAGAGCCAGCTGAGAGCCAGATGGCCAGTGAGTCGGGAGTCGGGACATTCTTTTCAGGCGGAGCTGCTGCGCTCCGGGGAGCTGCGCCAAGTCATTGAGACCATGAAGCCCGCGCCCCGGCCTTTTTTCTTTTTCTCGTTGGAGAGAGCGGCGCAGCGGCCACGGAGGTTCGGGATTTGATGGGAGGTTCTGTCGAAACATAGAGTCCGCAGTCATGCCAGGAGGGAGGGTATGGGGGACTCATGAAAGTCCCACAAAAGCCTGTGTACTTTGGGGGAATCCGATATGTTGACGGCGAACGCCACGGAGTGAAGAAAACGAGTGCCCCTGAAACCTTATCGGACTTGAAACAAGACTGATTCCATGTGCGCAGTGTTTCGCCCATCTCTAAATTGTCAATGATTGTTCAATGTTCAGCGGTGACACCCAACAGAACCAACATTTGCACATGTCAAAATGGAGGGACCCCCAAAATGGTAGTTGTCCTTTTGCAGACCAAGGCGAAAAGGGCACCTGCAAAAACGCAGCCAAAATGAGCAGTTGCCTGTATCAATGGCCTGCAGTTCCAGGGCGTCACGGGAGCAAAGACATGGTTCAGGGCTCTCACTGTACAGCCACCGGAGCAGAAAACCGGAGACTACTTCATGTGTTTTGTTGTTGTTGTTTTGTTTTTCTTATGATGATATGGGCAGCTTGATGATTTTAGAAGCTGCTGTATGAGGTCGTGCATTGAGGTGTGTGTTTGAATGAAGTACTTGATGAGACACCCAAGCCTTGTCATGTCGCTTGAATCACTTGAAAGTCGGTTCTGCCGGCGATGATGGCATTGCAACTTGTGGGTAGTTTGGGACTTTCAGGCTTTGGCAGTGTCCGAGTTTGCAATATGTCTTCAGAACTTCATGCTAGGAGTGCGCACGCAGCATTTCCAAAGTTTGCGTGAGAACCCGCCGCACCCACAGCTGCTATCTCAATCCTGTAGCGACTCATCATACCATATTTATATATATATATATATATATGATACGCATTGTCAAGACTCTCATCCGCCCCGCTGGAGCCAGCGGAACACATGGAACACTGACGCACAGCAGCCTGTGCACGGGTAGCACGATCTTCATGTTTGAGCTCCGTAGTCTCTAAGTGCCAAATGTGAGCATGAGCTTGATGCCATTTTCCCAAAATATGTGAGTGCCACGAAGGGCGCAAACTGACATGACTGCGGATGATGTGAGGTGTGTTTGTTGCCCTTGAAAGTTCAAGAGTGGCCGGCGGACATCCCAATCAGGCAAGTGGAGGTTCAGTTTGATTGGTTGCAGGAGGCATCCTGGCAGCAGGAGTCAACATCCGGTCACTGTTGAACTATGCTAGGTACGTTCTGATTCCTTTCCATATGAGAAAGCCTTTCTTAGGAGCCGCAGATTTGCGAAAAGTGCGAACCACACCCACACAAATGCTACTACCTCTATATCAACATGCAATATATCAATCAAGTCAGAGACTCCAGGGGATCCGACCCGGAAATTTGGGCCCGGAGTGGGTGAGGTCACTACGCAAGTCTGAGCTGAAGGGTGCCATCAGCGAGGCGGTTTGTTCCATATCGTCTATAGGAAAACGCCTAACATGGGCGGTGTCCTCTTGGCGTCCCTTTAAAACACCACAAAAAAGAGAGGTACCCTCAAAACACACACACAAACACTCAGGTTGACACCCCTGGATTCGAACAGATCAGCTGCATGGGTTGCAGGGTTTGTTTTCGCAAACGCCACAGGTTTTAAGATACTCTCTGGCAAAGAGGGAGAGCTGTGGTCGTCCTTGTTGCTACGTAATTATCAGTGTATCCCTTGTCGTGGGCCAAGACGATAGCAAGATATGCGAGGGCAGGGCTGGAGCTGTGTATCAGTAGGCACTCCCTACAGGTCCCGGTGTTTTTTTTTTTTTGCGAGGGAGACGGCTGTCAAGAGTATCGCAGAATCTCGTTGGTTTAGGCGGGATTCTGCACACTGAATGTTCGAATCACAGTTAAGTTGCCAAACAGGGCCGGACGTGTAATCCAAACATTGCTAATTTCGCGCTGGGATGCGCCAAGGGAGTAACTTGGTTCCGATGTTTGACCCAAAAAGGATTTGTGAGATGTGTGAGTATGTCAGCAAGGTTTAGCCGTTGGTTTGGTGATCTTTGGTGTTTGTGATAAGTGCTTGGATGCTTTCATCTGAATTCTACTGGCTGATCACCTCGCTAACCCTTGTTGTATGCAGGGTTTGGCATGCTGCGCAGGTGGACGAGCTTTTGGCAGCGCTGATTGGTGCCATCCAAGGCCAGATCGACGGCAAAGCGAAACATTGTGTTGGCCTTCCATCGCCATGCACCTCCACGAGGTTATCAGGTCTTCTTGTTGACTGTTGGTGGCAGAGGTGTCCTTTTGGGTTTGTCCGGTTGGCAATACATGGCACTGGTTTGAGATTGGTTCCAATCATTTGCCAGTGCCATCCAAATTCCAGAAAGACGCCGTGCCTGGCTGCAGAGCCTCGTGGCTCAGATTTCTATGTGCCCCAGAACCATGGCGCTTCACTGAAGGGCAATCTGTTTATCCCCTGTTGACGTTCGCCCATCGGCTGTCCAACAAAAGTCGCACAGGCCAGAAATGGAACATGTGGACATGCTGCTTTGGGTTGGGTTCTGACTTCAGCAACATGCGTGAGTGGACTGCATCAAGGGGAAGCCTCTCTCAGTCGTGGGAAATGCCACCTTGTACCTGACTAGTACAGCCTGTTCAGATCGTCCCAACCAAGCCAGAATTTGCTTTGTGGCCCCATGAGCTTAGGATTCTTTGTGCGCGCATCATGGTGCACTTTGGTTGCCTCATACTTCAGCACGTTGTCATTCACAATGGCAGCGATTTATGGACATGGGACACTGAGCCGCTGTCCGATGGTGCCTGCGAGCTGAATGGGGCAGTCCAGTATCAGGTCACAGGCAACCAGGACAAGCCACGGATTGCAAATTTGTTTCATGTGCCCCTTTCCCTCGGGACTCGTTACCCGGCTGCATCTTTCATGGTTGAAAGCTGCTGGACCTAAATCTCCGCAGGGCCCTAACGAGCTCCAAAGTGTCCGGAGGCCTCCGGGACTCCGCGCAGAGCAGCGGGGAGTTCAGGCGGAGCTTTGACTGACACGCGGCTCCAGCGGAGCTCCATCTCAAAGCACTGCGCTCACCAGAGACTGGGCTTCAGATGTTAAGAAGCGAGATAGCAAAGTGGCTGTGGACCCAAAATAGGTACCCAAAATAGAACCCTGGTAAAAGGAAACATGGACTAGAGCCTGCGGTCCCCTGGTGGTTTATTTTTGACAGCCAAGTCTCCTGTGCAAACAGTTCAGCTGTAGCTGGAAAGGCGGAATCTCTGAAACCCGAAGGCACTAGGCAAAAAGGTCAAGTGTTTGCAGGCTTGCTGATCTCCACGGCAGGGCAGGGCCCCTCATTTCTCCATCAGGGAGCAGCTGGCTGGGCTGGACCTGTCAGAGGCCGGGTGGGTCCCGGACCCTTGGTGGATGGGTCCCAACCAAAAAGCCGCCCGCCTGGGTGTGGCTCAAAATCAAACAGGAGGGGCAAGCCGCAGGTTTTGGTCCATGTTTCCGCTTAGGGTTCCATTTTGGTGCCGGTGTTTTGAGCCACAGCCACCTGGAGGCCGCCGCATTTTGAGAGTTTCACCCGGGTGAGCTCGGCGTTTTTTTTTGTGCCATCCTCCTTCTATGCATGCTGTCTGTCAAGAAATTCCGGCAGAGAGTTGCACGGGAGTATTTTGGGCGAGACGATGGTTTCATTCCAGGGCTGTGGACCAAGAAATCACGAAGCCCCGTGAATGTTGGCAGTGTGGATGTTCGGTGGGCTTTCTGATGGGTGCTCTCTTTGTTCAATCAGAACTTTTGGCGTGTTGAGTTCTCAAACCCGGGCTCGTGACCATTACCCCTAGTAGAAGGGTCTCTTGACAGCACATTATCCAACGGAGAATGCTGCGATTCGGAGCCGCTTTCAGGCTAAGCCAAAGAAGGACAAAGGGCGCGGGGTCGCCAAGGGAAGGAGTGAGAGAAGCTAGACACTGGAAAGAGGACATTTGATGGGTTTGTGCTTGGTGCATCATGTTTCTTGTTTGAAAGGACGTTGACATGTGTTTTGCCAACAATCATAACAGCCTGCCCTGACAAACAACTTGTTTGCGGATCATGTTGATGTCTAGGGCTCAGGCTGCTTGAGCGGCCAGTGAATTGCCGAAACGCTACCCGAATTCAACACGCTGCAAGAGGCTCAAATTGTTCACAGCCTGAATCAACTCATGTTGAATGCTGCAGTCCTTGTCTTGATGCGAGCGGCTTTGCGTGAATAGCTCCCTGTGTTATGAGCATCCTCATTTTATGAGCCCAATGGGTCGGAACAGGCAACAATTGGGTTTGACTCTAAGCCAACTGGATGATTCGGCTGAAGAAGCTCACTCAGGTGCTGCCCGCAAGGAGGGCGTGGAGACAATGATGGAGGCGGAGAGAAGACTTGAGGGCCCCAGGGCAAGAAATGCCAATGGCCACAATCAAAACCTGGAGATGAAGGTGAGTAAGGGATAGTCCCAGCCGAAATTTGGTGCGGCCGCCCCTTTAATGGCGTTGGTTTTGGTAGGCACTTGAACAATTATCGGGTTTTGATGATAACGCATATGGCTTCGAGCACTTATGGAGCAGCTACCTACTCATCTTCGGAATCATGGGTGTCTTTTGGGTCCGTTTGCTTGAAACTGAATGGCGTTGGTTTCAGTGTTGAATCGGTTGCCAGTGCCAGGTATTCTTCCAAAAGGACACTTCAGACTTGGTATGTGACTCGCAACTAATATAGCAAGCAAGCAGCTAAGATCACCCGGTTGTTGATATGAATTGCACCTACTTGCTGGCTGACATCTATAGCGGCGGTCGTCTTCTGACAAACGCGGAGCAACAGTATTGCAGCAGGAAATGGCATTGCGTACTGCATTTGTCTCTGTTTGTAGCGGCAAGCCCCTTATCTTGTAGCCTTCAAGCAGTTGCACAGCATGGGACACCCCGCGCTCCTGGAGCAAATGCATCCGTGCTTACCGGCTCACTCATCAGCAGCCACCTCCAGGAGAACAAGCAGCCAAAGGCAGAACATGCCTCACACCCCTGAAAGTCAAACCTTGCCTCCCCCCCCTTTGAAATGAATCCATGAATCTAGGAAGGAAACATGAGACATCTTTGTTGGCCTGAAAAGCCAAAAAAAAAACAGGGTGTTTCTGGGGGCACGTATGGAGGTGTAGATGGATGGGTGGATGGATGGGATGGATGCACGGATGGGTGGGTTGTGAACTCGTGGACGCACTGCGCAGGTGCACGTAGTGGGCTTGAGCCACCACAGCGCTCCAGTGGAGGTGGCTCGCCAAAAGCCAGCGGCGAGTTGGACTTGCGGCTCACGCGGGCCATGTTGGTCGAATATGGGTGTGGGTCAAAACCAAAGGGATCCCATTTTGGGGTAGGTGCACCACCCATTTTAGAACTTATTTTAGTGGGGATTGGGATGTTCACTGGGGGTACAGGATTTTGGCCATATGGGTGTGGGTCAAAATTAAGCCACCTGGATATGGACCACAGGCTTTAGTCCCTGGTTCCAGTTGCCAGCGTTCCATTTTGGGTAAGCCATTTTTGACCCATAGCCATATAGGGAACCCTGCTAGATGGTGGTGGGAAGGCACCTGGAAGCTAACCACCTCCCAAGTTTGAGAAGTGGACCTTCGGCTTTGGGTCAATTTGTCGCGGGGCGAGGCGGTGAGGCTCTGTTTGCGTCGCCAGGTGCGTCAGAAGTTGGCGGTCGCAGAGGCCAAGTGGAATGAGTACGCCCAGGACCTGCCGATGCCAGCCGATGGCTGGTTTGCCATGCTCGCTCGTCGGCTGGAGTTTTCTGGAAACCACCCTTTGTAAGTCGATTTGACACATGGAGTCATCAACCTTGACAACGGAAAGGAACCAGGCAGTGTGATGCCCAGAAGTGGGTGAGCTTATTGTGCATGACAGGGATGTCTAGTCTCCAAACGGTGCTTCTGATTGAGGAACGGAGCCACGCATGCAAATCTTACGCCGCCCTGAGGGAAAGCAACACGGAACTTGATCAAAAGCAAAAGTGCCTTGCAGTTCTATGTATCTTAGAAGTTTTCCTAGGCACCTCCAAAGCAGGTTTGTGCTTGTCTTTCCCAACGGCTTGTGTTTGGGGGGGGGAGGAGGGTTTAGGGGGTCCACCCTTCAGGAAGGGTGAATGTAGTGAGGGACTGCCAAGCATGCACAAAAAGACGCAGCCAGCTCTGAGAAGCGGATCGTTGCTCTTGGGTTGGGTTTGCAGCAAGGTCCAGGTGACAAAATTAGGGCGGTCGACGTTTTTCAAAATTCCTCACTAACAAAGCAGGACAAGTAAAAATATGGTTCCCAAAGGGCTTTGATACAGGCACACCAAGAAAGCTACCCCACATCATTCGTGAGACCTGCGAATCCAAATGGGCAACCACAAAGTGAAATATGCATGGTGGCGCCCTCAAAAATGGTTATGGATTCCCAACACTTTCCGGCACCGCAGCATGCTCAGTCCTTTTTGGACATGTCATTTGAAGATAAGGAGCTGGTCATGGCCTTTCAGCGTGCTTCGCCCCTCAGCCTAGGCCTCATGAGGCCCCAGGTGGACGGATCCCTTTTCAGGGTCGCAAAGCGGCGGGTTGGGCGACTAGGACTTGGTGCTCTATGCGAAAACTTCCAACGGCTATGTGGTGCCTGAGGCGGCGAGGACTTTTGGTTGTAAGAAACAGCAACATGGCGTGATTGGGCCTTCTTCCTCAAAGACCTCACAGTGTCAGTCGCAAGTCCAGAACATGGGTTCGAGCCTGCTTGCCAGCAGCTATGTTCGCAAATGTCACAGCAAACAACTTCTCAAGTGAAAGGGCATTCACGACGCTTCTTGCTCATCCCACCCGGCTGCGAAAAGAAAGAGAGCTTTTGCTTCCCGAGCGGGGACAACGAAGGCGGCGGTGCTGTCAACATGCAACCGCTTCGAGCTGTACTTCGCTTCCCCGGAGCTCAAGCCGCCTTCCCAGAGGGGGCTGGCGGCTTGCCATTGGCGGCTTTTTCAGGTCACTTTGGCAAAACGGATGGCGTGCGTTTCAGCTTTCCACTTATCCGGTGCCATCTATTTTTGGTGTCAAAGAAAGGCTGTGTAGAGGCTTCACATTAACTGATGGGTGCCTTTGCATTGGTTCGGTTCGGAATCGATTCCAGAAAAGGCGTCCTTTCCTGTTGGAGTACTTTCCAAGCAAGATATTCGTGATGATCTTACATAGCTCAACACGTTGCATCCATGCACGCGCTCGTCACACAGAACATGTTTCATAATATGCTTCCCAAAGATGCAATCATATAAAACACCGTTTGTCTTCATCATTGCTCTCGTTGCGATGCAGACATGTATCGCTTAACTCGCATTTGACAGATTCGCGGCCGTCTCACAGTGGCAACCCCGTGGCAACCGCAGTGTTTGGACCAAAGTCTGCCTATTGCCTTCACGGAGCTCAGCCGGAGGCACCTTCCGCGTTTGTCTATTCGGGTGAGAGGAGGCTAGCGCCCACCAAGGAGAAAGAGAGCATCGGTAGAGAGAGAATGCGAGAGAGGGATGGCACAAACGAAGCTGTCTCTCACTGTCACGATAATCACTACAGACTATAGACTGAGCGTGAACGGTATATGGGAGAAAATCCTCAAACGCCAGTGTTGAGATGCTGTTGCAAGCAGGTTGAGAATTGCATGGGCAAATACTGTACATGCTTGCAAACATCTAGCCGTTGCAAACCTGAGGCAGGTGTGCAGGAGGAAAGTAGGAACTCACACAGCAAGCTCGTGATCGACACGACTTCATGATCTCACAACTGAGGGGCATGTCCAACATGTTGTCTCGTTTGCACTATTCTGTTTGGCGACTGTAGACTAGCCTGAAGAGTTTAATGCTCATTGATCACTTGCAGGGCTTGGACTCCAACCATGCTCATGAGCATCCCCTCAAAGAAAAGTTGACCGAGACTAGTTGTAAACTTAGACTTTGACCGGCGAACAAAACTGTAGACAGGTGCGCGCTGGGAAAGTACTTGGAAATGCCTCCTGACTGCGACAACCAAGCAACTTGACTAGCATGTGACAGGGAACACAAAACGCTTCTGGCGGCGCTGAAGAAAAGCAAGCGGTGGAAAGCATAGCATACGAAAGGTCCAGGTACCATCCTGAATGTGGTGTGCAGAGCCGTTGCACTACCTTTCTGCAAACGCGGTGATGATGTGTGTTTGCTTTCCCGTGATGTTCTTTGTTCTGAAACCCAAGACAGCACTCGCTTCTCCGTGGGTGTTTTGGCAGGGACCCAGGAACATGCATCACTCCATGCATGGCCTCTCAGACGGCATTGATGCCTGCCATCCAGTGGTAAGAGGCCAAAGGGTTCATACCTTTGTGCAATGAATCATGAGGCTTGCCCTCATTGGAATGTGTGCTGTTCCAAGCACTTAAAGTATGCGCCAGCAGTTGTTATTGGATTGCCGCCTTGTGGTTGTAACCTGCTCTGCTGAGCAGGCTACGAAATGGCTGCCAGCACAGGCCTTGCACGGGATGGTTGGAGGGGGCTGCTTTGCTGCCCCTTGAAGCCGTGCGATGGGCATGTAAGGCTTGCCTCAAAACGGGTGTCACACCATAGTCATGCCAGTTTTGTCTCGAACACAAAAGCCTGGTTTGATGTGCTTATAATTATACTTGAAAGCAAGCTTTGATGAAGCCAATCCCTGGGGGTCCTCCAGTTTTGAAAACAGCAAGAGTTGATATGAAAGCTCATCAGTTCTTGACAATGTGCAAGAAGGAGATCAGATTTTTGTTGATTGATGAAGTGGGTGCATGCACTTAGTGATGTTGCATTGTTCTGTGTGTAATCTGTTCTGTTTCTCGGAACAGGGCCACACAGATTCAGATTGCTCGGGGCGCATGTGCAAGACAAGGCCAGCTGATGGCTCCAACTCTTTCAGTTAGAGTGGCCAGCAAGTCCGGGAAGCATAAAAATTAGCGACCAAAGAAAATCAAAGAAACATGTTGCATGTCCGAGAAAATGCAGGTGACCGGCTTAGGAGGGCTTCTGCAACGAGTACGTGGCCATATTCCCCATGTATCAATGAGCCGATGAGCAAACAAGACATGTCCAACTGCTGAGGCTCAACCGCCCGCTTAGGCGTAGGAGCGCCAGGGGTAGGTCCGGTTTGCCATATCGACTTGTCCAGCGCGTGATTCTCCCCAGGCAGCGCGTGTCGCTTGAGGTGCCTGTTGGGGCTTCGTGGCTTTGAAAGGCCTCTGACGTCGTGGCGCATTGCAGTTCCCCACTTGCATTCACGGCGGCTCTCTGCAAAACTCGTCCGAAAGCTCTGGTCTTGATGGCCCCACCGCCCGCTCAGGACAACTGAGGGGCATGACGGCTTTAGCCCAGATCCTTGCGGACCTTGGTCCATCCATCCTGACTTTGGTTGCTTTGCACAACTTCTGCACTCTCAAGTCTGGCTGCTTGCGCTCGATCCACTTCGCCGTCACTGCGCACAGTCTGTGTTTTTCTCGTTGCAAAACATTCGAACTTCGAAGCAACTCTTTGCGAAAGCTGATTGTGCCTCTGGCCTAAACAAGCTTGGCCAACGATGGGCCTACGATGCTGACGTGGCCACTTTTGCGACATCGAGTTGATCTATTCGCTCTGGCGCCCTCCCCGGAGGCCAAGTTGCAAATCCGCTGTTTCTGACTTGGCGCGAGGTGAAATGTTCGGGTGGTTCTGAAGTTCTGCGCCAGCCTCGGCCCGCGTGAGCTCTTTGAAAAGCGCAGTGTTTGTTGTGATTTTGGGAGGCCAAGCGTTTTTCTGTTGGGTGGCAAATGTAATCTTAGGTGCTATGGGATGATCCCGAGCGTCCGAGCCGCATCCCGCGCACCAGGAGAGCAAATCGTTTTCTTCACGTTCCCTCCCTTCCTTGCCCTTGTGCTCTGTTCTCCTCCTCCTTTCCCTTCACACCCGCAGAAGCGCTGCTGGTGCTGCGCGCGCTCATGGGCGCTGCTCCGACCACACCTGCCTTTGTGGGTGGCCAGGTGCGACAGGGGCGCGTTCTGTCAATGGGTGTGCCAATAGTGGTTTTAAGGGAAAACCAGAGGGGAACTCCACGTTCCTCTTTCTTTTCATCTTTTGGGGGGTTAAGACACATGATCCACAAAGCCAGGACCATTCGACCATCTTTTTGTTGCGCGGGAAAAGCGCTAAGCAAGCCCCACATGGATCATAAGCCCAGGTGGCATCCAACCGCTCCACGCCCCCCAGAACCTTTCAGCAACATATTGTGACCCTTGTAGCAATCGCTACCCAGCAATGAATCTCTGGAACCTTGGCCAACCGCTTCAACCCCCGACTGCTCCATGGAGCCCCGGGAACCCTTCGGAACACCTCGGAGCTGCGGACCACTCCGCCGGAGTCTATTTGGGTAAAGACCCATTTTTTTAAGCGGTTGGGAAAACAAATGTCTCTGAAGACATTGATGCAGACGTAGACCGTGCAGCCCAAGTTGGCCGGTTTCGCGCCAGGTGCACTCGCCGTCTCAAACGGCAAAGGCTTCGTCGCTGGCGCCTGTGGCGGTGAAACGGCCGGCAGCCAGCGCGGGGCAGCCGCAGGCAGCGGTCTGGGCACGCATATTGCTGGGCTTGTTTGGACGTGGAAGCAAAGGACGTCCATTTGTTTGTTGACCATGTTGACTTAAGTGAAGGTGAAGAGTTAGATCCTAAGTTTTCGCGTGTTGGCTTGCAGTTTTTGCCCTCGTTGAACCTTGGTCAAGGATCAGTGACTCCCCCGAGGGGGCAGCTCAAACCTGGGAGCTCGCAACTCGCAACTTGGCACCTGCCACCTGCGAGGGCGTGTCTGGCAATCTGGTGGCCGGTGCTGTGGTCATTGCGGCGCTGCGAGGATCGCAGGCACAGGGCACCAAGAAAACGACTGACAGCCCTCAGCTTTGGCCAAGTGGATGTGTGCAGCTGATTTGTTCGTCTCCTGAAGTGGGGCACGTGAACCAATCCCGTGTCATGGAATCGGACTAGGCAATAATGTCTATAAACCAAAAGCTGCACGCCACTTGTCATGGGTGCCAGCATCGTTTGTGGAGGAAGATGTGTTTTACCCGGTAATCTTTGGGCCTTTTGGACACGTGCAAACCCGATCAGGTCTGACCTGGGCTAGTGGCAAGTTGCCACTGGCTTTCTTGAATCACAGACCCGTGTCAATTGTTTTCAATGCTGGAAGCAGACGGCTGGCTTGGTGAATGATGTCTGGAGCTCACACAGCTCGCGACAGGTTCGCCGGCGCCAGCGGCTTCAGGCAGGTTCCTGTTCGTAGCGCGCCTGCCAGCACAAGCCAGGAAGGTTTGCCAGTCAGTATCAGGAACTCAGTGAGGAAATCACATCAATCTTGCCATCTGCAGAAATTGTGTCTGTGTGTGTGATCACAGGCCATGGGCACAGTGTCTTTTGAGGGCACGCTGCTAAAAGAATTCATGCCAGATGCCGCTGACAAACAATGCAAATAAGCCAGGTCAGTGCTGTCATTTAGCATGCTGTGAGCCTCATCAAAGTGGGGCCGGTAGAGTGGTGAGACTTGCCAATCCCGAAAGCCGCAAACAAAGAAATGAAAACTGTTGGATGGTGCAGCATGGCTTTTTTTGTTTGCGACTGGCGGACGGCTGTCGCAGGTGCCGCGTCGGGCAGTGCAGGCCGGAAGATTGCCAAGTCGCCAGCGTAAATGATAATCTCCGAAATTGAAAGCTTGTCGCTGTGCCTGCAACGGTGTCAAGAGTGTCGGGCAGGGTGTCCAGCTATCTCAGCCGAAAAGCCATGTCAGCCCAGAAGCCATGCAAAAGCAACCGCTCACCCCGACTTCCGTTCTGTGGCCATTTCGGTTGCGTGTCAGGAGCGCACATCTGCGACAGTCACAGGGGAAGTGGACCCGGAAGACGCAGCAGAGCTGGCTGAGAGGCCCGCGGGCGC